ATAGCAGAATTATGAAGGAATAGAACAGATGTTAAAATAACTTGACATATCCAAATTCAAATTTTGGGTGGGATAATTCCCTTTCATAAAAGCACTCGTGTTCATTAAATATCAGTTATATACACATTCAACATATGTCCTGCATTTTACACAACTTTCCAAGAATGTAATCACTGAAGAAAGGCACCCACACAGGAGAAGGTCAAAGGTATCAAGTGCAGGGTAGGGGTAGGTGGGGAGTAGTGTGTGGAGGGTGAAGGGTGGAGGGATACAGGAACAAATTAATCCTCCATAGTTGAGCACCCAGTGCCTAAGAGGTGCATGGGTCAGATGCATAAATCCTTGACACTCAGCAATCTTATACAAATTCCACAATTCTCCCTCTAGTTCCTGCTTCCTGCTACACTACACCCTGGGATCACCAGCTATTCTAGATCCGCATTACATAAATCTCCACCAAGCTGCTACTCTCTGAAATTATGAGCAAATTTTTACCTGAAAAAAAAAAATCTAAAAGGGGCCGGGGATTTAGCTCAATGGTTCCGACACCTGCCGTGCAAGCGCAAGGACCCGAATTTGCTCCCGGGTACCAAAAAAAAAAAAAAATCTAAAAGGACTATGCTTTTAAAAAAAAATATGTCCAAGAATATAAAACTTAAACGTATTGTTGGAAAAACTTTTCACATGTCAACATTTAAGACAAATTATTACTGTAAGCCTAAGAAACTGTTGCTATCAAGTGACATCAACTGAGCCCTCACTATCCACCAGGCACAAGATTACATGTACTACTTGTATTATCTCGTTTATTCTTCAAATAATCCTATAAACTCTACACTGTTGTTCATCACCTGTTTACAAGTAGGAAAAAAGACTGACAAGGATTGTGAAAGTTAAACAAGATTCGTACAAAGGGCTGGGGATTTAGCTCAGTGGTTCTGCTGCCTGCCTCGTAAGTACAAGGTCCCCAGTATGATCCCTGGTACCAAACAAAAAGAAGATCATGCAAAGTAACAACCCTCTCTTACCACTCCAACGCAGATCCTTCTAGCCTTTTTCCTAAACTAGAAGAGTGCATAAACAGAAAGCAAGTTCTTTTACAGAGAGGGTGCATTTAACAGAGACACTGCCCTGCCAAAGAACTCATGACAGTGTCCTACCACAGCAGGAGAAAGAATCGGAACGCTGGTAAGAGTGCAAGTGTTCAGACCCGGTCAGCTCAAAAAGGACACTGCAGGTTCAGCGCAAAGATTGGATCCAAACCTCTGGGGGCCAACCGCGGCGAGGCACAGGTTTCCCCGAGGGCACAGGAGGCGCTAGGAGAGAAAGCTCTGGTCCCGGGTGCCCATTCCCCGTCAGGCGTGGTGACTCAGGAAGGAATGTCTGACCGAGGCGGCAAGAAGGCGAAGCCCGGAGCTCTGGACTGGTGCCCCGGAGCCGGCCGAGAGGCGGGCGCTGGGCGCGGCCACGCAGGGCAAGGGAGGTCGGCAGCGCGCGACAGCCGGCTAGAGACACCCCCCCCCCGACCCCGCCGCGCCTCACCTGTTCCGTGCCGACAAGCTCAGAGGCAGGCTGGGGGCCGCACCGAAGCCTA